ATTTTAGAAGCCTTGTGTATTCACTTTTACAATTATTATTTATTTTAAATTTAATTTTCTCTTTGCCGTTTAGAATTATCCTGCTAGAGTTATCTGTATTTTGTGTTAACACAAGAGCAGTACTTTTCATTGTACACAACTGGTTCATTTACATGACCTGGACTTGAGAAGCTGTTTCTCAGGTTTCAGGGAAACGTATGGGAGCACCTACTGGCGAAGGGTGATATAGTCCTGCAGACTGGTTTTATTGGACCTTGTCATTTGGACCAAGTTGGAGGGCATGAGCATGAGGGAATGTTGCTGCCAGAACATGCTTATTGCTTAAATGTTGCAACAGAGTTGTCCTAGGCAGGAAATACAAGAATTGAGAAGATACTACAAAACAAATATGTTATTTACATGGGAACATAACATCTAACAGGCATACAATTGTTTACTCTTGATGTACTAAAATGTTTCATGAGGACAGAGACCAGGTCTGTGTTGTTCACTTAAAATTCCTAGTACAGGAATGGCTCAGTCGGTTAAGTGTCCAACTTCAGCTCAGGTCATTATCTCACAGTTCGTGGGTTCAAGCCCTGCATTGGGTTCTGTACTGACAGATCAGAGCCTGGAGCCTGTTTCAGGTTCTGTGTCTCCCTCTCTCTCTGCCCCTCCCCAGGTCGAGCTCTGTCTCTCTCTGTCTCAAAAATAAATAAAACCAAAAAATAAAAAATAAAAAAAAATCCCTAACACAATAAATGGTACCTTGAAAGTGTCAGTAAATATTTACTGAATGAATAAATGTTAACCAATTTGGACATTTCTTTCTCAAAACATTTGAAAATTTGCCCTTTGTTCTTTTTCTCCCATAGAACTGCACCCAACATTTATAATAAAAACAATGAAAGTACAATTTAAATGACAAATTTCTTTTTTAGATAAAAAAAAATCATGTAGAAACCTTGAGGCAGTTAAAAATATATTTACAACTTTAGAGTTTAAAACAATTATGATGAAAAATTGATCTAAACTAATTAAAAGGAAAATGATGGGAGTTGCATAGGCTTTGTAATCCAATATTGCTAAGTTCAAATTTCAGCTTTATAGCTTAGTAGCTGTATGAGGTTGGATGAATTACTTATCCTGCCCTCACTTTCCACTTCTATTGAATTAGTTTTGTGAAGATGTAATGAGTCAATATATATGCAATGCTTTGTGCCTTCTTGGTAAATAATAAATAGTAGCTATTGATTGTTTCTCTCAGGGTACTCATTTTCCTAATTTTCAATGGACTGTATGCTTCTTTGGACAGGGACCATATTTTATTTATTCCTCGAACCTAGCACAGTGCCTGGCAGAGGCTGGTACTTAATAAGTAAGTATGTATTGAATTAATAAAGAAAATAAATATTTAAGCAACTATTTGGGGACTATTGTTCTTAGCACTACGTAAGGTTGTACACCATACAGCTTGTAAATGAGGTGTATATAGACCCATACTCAACAAAGCCATTTAAAATATAGAAATAGGGTATTTTCACCACTGGAATAATTTGCAATTCCTTTGATTAATCAAATGTTTTTTATGATGATGAAGGAATTCGTAAGAAATGTTGAGCTCAAGCACATTGGAGACTATATTATAGAGTATTCACAAATAGCCACATTCTAGCTTAGCTACATAGTTATTTTTTACCATTAAGGGCATTTTTCTCACTTGCTTTCATCAACACAAGCCCTATGTATAAGTATAGATAACTGATTTTGAACATTTCACAACAGAAACTGTAAAGCAGTTTTGTACTTGGTAATCAGGAAAGGCACCAACAATGAAGAAGGGATTTGCTTTTAATAAAAATATTCTATACATCCATCTGAAAGTTCTCATGTGACAAACATGACACGTACAGCTCTGAAACATATTCGACATATCTAGGGGTACATCAGCAGAAATGTGAATACCCTGGGTTCTACAGAAGTACTTCACATTTCTAAATGAGAACCATATTTGCCCATGAAGTAATTATTTCAAAGGCATCTCTTTTACTCAATGGTCTAATCATCATTACCATATTCTACACACCTCAGAAGTGTGTAACATTTTCTGGATTTTGGGTCCCAATGTATAACAAATTTTTCTAGGCTTATGGAATCAAAAAACTATTCCAAAAGATATTAATAGGCTAAGCCTATTGCCAAATATGAAATTATACTTGGAACCAAAGTCTCAAATAAAAAACTAACATGTTCATTTATACCTTTACTGGCAGAGCATAATTTGACACAAAACCCAAATTATTGTCAAGGGAAAACCATCCTCATTGTAAACAAACGTAAACTTGGGCTGAATATTGGGAGATGTCATTGTCCTTGAGATTATCGGAGGGGGATTTTTAAACATCATCTTGTTTACAAGAATGCACACAATTTTAGACTCATGCTTGGCCTAACACTACATGCTGGAGAAATAAAATGCAACATTTTTATAAAATGCAACTTATTTTCCAAGTTTGGAAGTTAGCCAAAAGTTACACATTTAAAAATCAATCTCCATAAACTTATAGCTTTCTTTGACAAAAAAACAAAAAACCCATAAGTCATAAGTTGGGTAAATAGATAACATGGTAAAAGCAGTTTGAAAATGGAAATATCCTTTATTTTTCCTTTCATCTACTCTTAGCTGTATTCAGAGATGGCTATTTGATTTCTTAATCTCGCGTTCATGTTTTTTGTAAAATGTAAATAGTAAAATATGGTATGCCCAATGAACCATTTTGGAAACAGTTAAATGGCACATCAACACAAATTGAAATCACAATTGTTTTTTCCCCCTCCAAGTTGGAGGATATTGGTCCTTGATGAAAATTCAGAAAATAAATAGGCACAAAAAGCTCGTGTAAACCAAGTTTCTCTTAGAACTATAGCATTTAAATTACAGTGTGTACAGTTTTTAGTACAGAATTTTAAACATCCGTGAATCCTGTACATTATAAATAATGTATCTTATTTATCTCAGCTCATTGATAGGATATATCAAATAAGGGCTAATTACAAATCTAATATGTGTTTTGGCATTCATTTCTAGGTTTCAAAACACAATAATATCAGATCCTAAATGCTTTATTTTTCAAATCGTGAAAATTAAGGCATGGAAATTACGCATATGTCTCAAATGCGACTCTTCATTTTCTTCCTGTGCCTTTTAGAGTTAACTTAAAACACTTGCCTCTGACTGTTCCCTACAGTAGGATAAACTGGTTAACCACTAAAATAGAAGTTAAGATTAATGGATGACTTTTATCAAGTTTAAGTTTTGGCTCCATGCAATTTTTTGAACCTTTGACACTTGCCTCACTTTTCTAAAAGGAAGTAGCTATAACTGACAGCTAAATATGAGTACCTGAAGATACTAACAGAAAAACCTAGACAGATGTACTTATGGTTTTCTACTGACTTCCTTCCTACAAGATGGTTACATTTGTTGATAACTAAAAATGTCTTGATTAGCATAACAGAAATGAAAATGCGAACACGTCATGATGTTCTACTACAGTGATCTTGAATGCCTTCCAGGTACTCTAACACCTGAAAAAGTCTCAGAATCACTAACTTAGCATCTATTATGGTTGTGTCTAAATATGTAAATAAAATCCCAAACCACTAACAACTGATCACTCTCATCTTTCCTAGCCTGTCAACATGGTGGCACAGGCAGTAGGAGATTAAAATGCCGATTCTGGGTTTTGTATTTCCAAGTCCAGGGCACAGGACTAGATAAGCTTTATTTCACATGGACTATTGCATGCAGATTCTTTCTCATTACATTCAATATTAAAGTTTATCTGTAACCAATTATTTTCCCTTCTGATTGCTAGCTGTAGAGGTACATTGAGTAGGAGTGTATAGTTGCTGAAAATTTTGCTAACTTCTTGGTTCTTTTTAAACCACATCCCAATGATCTTTCCACTTTGTAGTTCACTTCTATGTCTTGTTAACAATAACCAAGTAGTAATAGCACTATCATTACCCAATTTATTTTCTTTTCAACATCTCAGTTAACTTTTATTGATATTATAGTCCAGTTAGATTTCGAGGATAATAGTTGTAAGTGGAAATAGCACTGAATCAAGGAATCAGGAGAACATTATTTGATCCTTGGATCTGTCCCTAAATAAATTGCATTATTAAGGCAAGTCTGAGTGTCAATTTCCTCAAAAGTGAAGTAGGCAAAGAATATTTGCCTCAGTAGATTGCCATAAGAATTAGAATGAAATGATATAAATGAGGATTGTAACTTATAAAGTGCTATTTCAATGTGTGCTATTACTACTGTGATTTTGAGAATCCCTATATTCCACGAGAGCTCTATTATTTATAAATATGATGGACTCCTCCTCTGAGCACAAAAATAAGCTGAGTATTTCTGGACAGAAGTTGCAGTAGATAATGATGCCAAGCAAAGTAACAGTCTGACACATACGTTGTTTGGATACTCCTTTTCTATACTGGCCATTCTCTTTTTAAAACAAAGGAGTTTATTAACAAATATGTAAGATTCTCTTTAAGACTAATTTGTTATGTGCCCACATTAAGATGCTCAAAATCTAAAATTTAAAGAGATGGCACTTTACACATGTCATAGCCATGCTTCTTTCTTTCACCCACTGTCATTAAAATAATTTTTTTCATATTGAAATTATTTATCAAACTGTCAGCTATTTTGTACACAGGTTTAGTTGACCACTAGCAATGATGAACATGAATTCTAGCTATTAAACCTAATAACCATAAATGGACTGAGATGTTACTCAAACTCCAATTTTATGCACCTGTTTTCAAACCAAATGCTGTTGTTAAGTTTTTCCATTCTCAAGATATGTCCCATGTTTGTTAAGAACTTCAGACACATGACATATACATAGTAAATCTGGTATTCATCATAAATTCACCTAGAAAATCTTGTCTTACAGGTGAGTTAGGCTTTCGCTAGGAATTAGTATAAGCCAGAATGACTAATCTCACACAATACATTTGTTTATTTTCCTCTGAAAAGTCAGATCATATATTTCCTTGAATCTAAAATCTTACAAAACATTCCTTGTTTTCTGTGCTTAGCTTAAACACAATGCATGCACTATAACAGAGTGTCTCTGAGCCTTTACCTAAAAATTAACTTTTAAAACATGTCAAAACAAATTAGGATGTCTCATCTTCGGCTTTGATTGTTTTCAGCACTGAGTCTTCTCCCAAAATTTTACACAGTTCATTGAGTCTCTGCTGCATTTTGGGAATTCCAGCTAGCTGAGATTCTAGCTTTTGTTTTTCTTCACTGAGTGTTAAACGGATAGCGGTATCCAATTGTTCAAAGCGCCAGCCTCCTTCACCATCAAACTGTAATAAATGAGTGTGGTATTTCCTGCATGATCAAAATGAAATAATGTAATATTAGCACTCATTGTGAAAAGCCATGTCACAATTTTATCACAAATTTTATCATTCCAGTTGAGATCCAAAGGCAAATTTTAAGTAAGGTAACTATTTTACATTTGATTTTCAAGAATCCCTGAAGAGGTTAAATATTGTGATTTTTAAACTCCAATAGTCATTAATCTCTTAGGAGTTCTATTGCTTATATTAAATTTATTTCATATTCTGAATGTATATGAACTTCAAAGGAAGATATGCTGTTTGTATCTATTTATCTCCATAACCCAGTATGGCCCCTGAATAAATATCAAAGCTTAGTTAGAATGGGAATAAGGAAAGCAAGCTAAGGGAAGAAAGTAAACTTTTAAATAAAAGGGGGAAATAAACTAAGAAATAAAAGGAAATAAAATACCAATTCATTAATATACTATCCTTTCAGAATGAATTATTCTACAGAAGTAAAAAGTCCTCACTAATAAAGTTTTAAAACATTTTTTTAAAGAAAGAGAGAGCATGCACATATGCAAGCTGGAGAGGGGGAGAGAGAGGAAGAGACAGAATCTTAAGCAGATTGCACATCCAGCCTAGACACCAACGCAAGGCTCCATCTCACAACAATGAAATCATGACCTGAGGCAAAATCAAGAGTCAGACACTTACCCTATGGAAGTACCCAAGAGCCCCAGTTTTAAAACATTTTTTAAAAAATGAACTCTTTGATAGAAATCTTTTAAAGATACTTCCATGCCTTCATATAATTTAGTATCCTTTCTCATGGCTCTGGTTCATAATTAGAAACTTCAGACAAGTATAGAGATTATTTTACTGATGAGACCGGAGACAATCCATGTTGTCCAGCTAAGATTACTGGTCTCTGGAATTTAGGGGGGGATGTGTGGAGAGAGTAATGTCAACAGAGTTGGCCTTGCCCGGCTGAGCCCCTGCATTTTGTCATTTTCTTCAAGTGGCGCATGTTCCTCTGTGTCCCCAGTTTTCCTGTCTTTTCCTTCTAGTTTTTGTTGTTTCTTGATCCCTTAATTTTAAGCTCTCATCTATCATTATTTAATATAATCAGTGGGCTTATTTCAAGTAGATTCACTTCCTTTTTTAAACTTGAGCTATGACTCAGATACCATAAACTCATCCTTTTAATAAAATTCAGTGATTTTTAGTTGATTCAGAACCTTTTGTAACCATCACTACTGTCCAAATCCAGAATATTTTCTTTATCCCCAGAAGACACCCCATGCCTATTAGCAGTCTTTCCCCCCTGCCCCTTCTGCTTAACCCCTCCCAACCATCAATCTTCTCTCTGTGTCTCTGGATTTGTCTATTCCAGACATTTCATATAGACACAATCATATAATATGTGGCTTTGTGTGACTGACTTCTTTCACTTAAAATGATTTCAAAGTTCATCTATTTGGAACATGTATTAGTACTTCCTTCATTTTTATGGATGAATAATATTCCATTGTATGGTTTGTACATTTTGTTGATCTATTCATCAACTGTAGGACTTTTGGTTTCATCTCATTTTGATTAGATGGTTTTACCATGTTGTAAGATGGGGAAATTAACCTGGATTAAACTGTGTCTAAAAGAGTAAAATCACTCTCAAGATGAAAGTTGAAAGTTCATATGTTTGATAACATATGACAGAGATTAATGATCTTTTTCTTTTTAATATATATTCCTAGGCTTTTCCTAATCTTGGATCTACAGCTGGGAGCAATTTCAGAATGCAGTAGTTCTGATCTTGGGCAACTTTTGTCTTCAATGTATAATGAAGGTCTGTCTCGTCCCTCCAGTCACACAACATTATTTGATTTCTACATAGGAGGAAGAAAATGTATGGGTGTTTTGTTACCTGAAATTCAAAGATGTGTTCTACATAATGGGCTAAAATAGTATTTCAGGGTTTGCTTTAGAGGATTTTAAAGGAAACTACTATATTAACTGAGACTTGGAAGCAATCTGCAGACTTCTTGCACAAATTGAGTCTAGGACAGTTGTAGGTATAAAGCTATAATTCTATCCAGGAGTCAAATAATTTAATAAGCTTCTATAATTTTTGAGCTTTTTATATACGGATACTGATTTTAATCTTTACAACCGATAATTACCACTTTGCTGTCTTGGAGAATAATACATTTTTCTCTCTTCTGAAATCTTTTCAGGGAAAATAAGAATTTCATCAAGGGAGGAAGGTTAATCAGAAATGATAGATTTCTTCAACTTAAAATCCCTGAATTAATTCATAATGCAGAAGTAACATAATTTTTAGTTTTATGGGGAAATGTATGATGAACAGCTATAACTAAAAATGTTTTTCTTATTAAAAGGCATACAATTACAGATTTTGTAATTAGCTTAAAAATATTTGTCCTCTATATACCTATTTAGAATGGCCAAAATCCAGAACCCTGACAACACCAAGTGCCAAGAAGACTGTGGAGCCACAGGAACTTTCATTCGTTGCTTGTGGCAATGCAAAATGGTACCGCTACTTTGGCAATTTTTCAGTTTCTTATAGAACAAACATACTCTTACTATGTGATCCAGCAATGGCACTCCTTGATAATTACTCAAAGGAGTTGAGAAAACTTGTGTCCACCTGAAAACCTTCATATGAATGTTTAGAGCAGGTTTGTTCATACTTCCCCAAACTGGAAGCATCCAGGATGTCCCTTAGTAGGTGAATGGATAAATTGTCTGCATCCAAACAATGGAATGTTATTCAGTGCTATGATTTCAGCTATATGACATTCTAAAAAAGGCAAAATGATGGAGGCATTAACAATTAGTGGTTTCTAGAGCTTGAGGAAAGTGGGAAAGTGAGGCAGAGGACAGAGAATTTTTAGAGCAGTGAAAATCCTCTATACAATACTGTAAAGATAGATATATGCAGCTAAAAATGTGTTCAAACCCATAGACTTTACATCACCAAGAGTGACCCTAATGTAAATTATGGACTTTGGGTTATAATGATGTGTCAGTGTAGGTTCATCAATAATAACAAATGTTTCACTCTACTGTGGGTGTTGATCATGCAGCTATGCATATGTGGGGACAGAGGATTTGGGATCTTTCTGTCCTTTCCTGTAAATTTATATGTGCATAAAATTGCTCTAAATAAAAGTCTTTAAAATCACAACAACAACAAAAACCTATTTGTTCCTTCAATTAGAAAAAAAAATGGCTGAATGTGTTTCCAGTGCCTTTTTAGGCTTTTTGTATAAGGAACTGAATGACAGAATAACATGATAAATTAATTGATAAGGGTCAGAAAAGTACCAGAACTAAGACATAACTCCATGTTATCCTAACGTGTGATCAATTAGGAAGCATGTCTGGAAATGACAAGTGTATACCAGAAGGGGCTCAACAGTTCTGGCATAGCTGTGTGTCATTGCTGATTCAGGGATTTTAGACAAATGTCATAACTGTGGTAGAGATCCAGTTCTTGTTGGTTTTCTCCAGGGAAAAGTCAGAGGAGTCACATTTATTGCCATGTACTCAACCTGGACTAGATTCAGACTGCTTCTGGAGAGATTTTATCACTCCAGATGCCAATTAGTTCTTAACGACAAGAGAGACAAACCACAAAGTTCTATAGAAAGGGTCATTTCATGAAATGCTCTATTTCCAGGTCTACTCTCTGCAGGGAAAAATTATGAAAAATCTGCAAGTTTGAATGAAGACCAGAGTGTTATCTTCTCAATGGGAGTAAAGAGTCAAAGAATTTTGAACAATGAATGCCTGATCTGAACTGAACACTCAGTCTATTCACAATTTTAAAGTAAACATTCTTTATACAGTGAAAGGTCCAGAATTAACTCAAATAAAACTGGTTACTCGGCCTAGTTTTGAAGTCACCTACATGATGGCAGCTTTGGCACAGAATGTGATTAGCCACCTGGTACAGACTACTCCAGCTAGAGAGAGAGAAGTCCTGCCCCTCCCTTGAGAAATCTGAGACTAAAGCATATAGAATCTGCTATAGTAACCAATACGTCAAAAGAAAAGATTTTGATTGATGAAACAAATATCAAAGTAGTGGAGTAGAGTATAAATGAACAAGTGCTTTTATGGCTTATATATAAGGTGCATTTTGAGCTCCTTATAATAAGTAGAACAGCATACTATAGTACAGAGTGATCATGGTAAGTTACTTTTCTCATTTTTCTAGTTCTCAGTTTCTTTATTGGTAAAATGGGAATAATTTGACTACCTATACTCTCTATAGGGTTGTTATGAGACTTAAATAAAATGAGCCTGTAACAGAATAGGTGCTGAATCTGCACTAGCAACTATTATTATGGTGATCAATCAATGGAAAAGTAGGGGAATGGTAAAAATAGTGTTGTCATTTCTTTAAGTAGGAGAAATCTCATTAGGTTTAATGGGGTAATATTTAGAAAATAATTTCATTCATTTTTTCCTTAAAACAAAAGCAAAAAAAAAAGCTTTTTCCCTCTGTATTTTCTCTAGCTTAATCATTTGTAGGAATATTACTTTGTAGAAGTCTTTCCTGGATTTTGAAAAAAAGGGGTAAAAAGATGATATAAAATTATATAAGTATATTCTTTCCTAGTACATACTATGGATTATGAATATTTTCAGTTAAAAAAACACACTTGATTGTTCCACTTTTTTTCAGAAGTATTGGAATGTGATAACAGTTTTTAAATAGCACATATATGTTATGATGTGAGGTTTGGGTATCTATACTACTAGTGTGCAACTTAACAGAAATATAGGTAGAATAAGTGAAGTATCCTATGCTCTATAGTGAAAGTTTAGGCAAAGTTACTCTTTAAAAAATTTTTTTTAAGTTTATTTATTTTGAGAGAGAGAGAGAATACATGCATGTGTGTGTAGACACGTGAGCTGGGAAGGAGCAAAGAGAGATAGGGAGAGAAAGAATCCAAGCAGTCTCAGTACTGTCAGTGCCAAGTTCAACATGGGGCTTAATATCATGAACTGTGAGATCATAACCTGAGCCAAAATCAAGAGTTGGTTGCCATTCGACTGAGCTACCTAGGCACCCCTAGGCAAAGTTACTATTTAAGAAATATAAAGAGGGGTGCCTGGGTGGCTCAGTTGGTTGAACGTCTAACTCGATTTTGTCTTAGGTCATGATCCTGGGTTGTGGGATCCAGCCTTAGGTCGCAATCCAGGCTGAGTGTGGAGCCTGCTTGAGATTCTCTCTCTCTCTCTCTCTCTCTCTCTCTCTCTCTCTCTCTCACTCTCTTCCTCTTCTTTTGCCCTGCTCCCCTGCTTGCATGCTCTCTCCTTGTCTAAACAAAAGAAAAAAAGAAAAAGGAAAGGAATAAAAAGAAAAACCATCTATTGCAAATTAGCATTGGAAACACTTACCACAGAGAAGGCCTGTGCGTTATAGATAGTAAGGAAATTCCAGCCCCTTTTGCAGCCTGAAATATCTTTCCTTCAACATCAATGCTGACAGCACTGGTACATTCATCCAGTAATGCATATTTTGGTCTTGAAAAAAAATAAGAAAAGTAAATTAATGGCCTTTCTATTTGAATTATAAAGCTTTACATGGACAAGATGAGTTGCAATGTTACCTTTATTTTTTAATTTTTTAAAGTGAGCTCTGTGCACAATGTGGAGCCCGAACTCATGACTCTGAGATCAAGAGTAGGATGCTCTATCAACTGAGCCAGCTAGGCGTTCTGCAATGTTAACTTTAAAGGAACAAAAGAGTATATGACATTAGTAAAGGTGACAAATGGTAAAGTAAAAGAGGAGTCATCCTCCCTCTTTGCATTAGGATATTACATCGTTCTTAAATTTTAAATAGATTTCCCGATGCCTACTCACTATACAATAAGCTTTATTGTTATGCATATGGGTGAATCATGGGTATGAGACATAGGAAAGATGAGGCAGGTCACTGAGTGCATTTTCCCATAGAAGGCAAGTTCATTCCTGGTGACAGGTTCTGACTAATTACATGAAAAATACATTACAGTAGCTATTTATCAAACAGGCCAAAGAGCTGTTAGCAAAGATGTATGGAGAAGATAACTTCATCATCAATGTAAGTACCAAAACATTATTAATGGAATTTCGTTGCTACAAGATTCTGTAGAAGTAGTATGCCTAATCTGACAAATTTACAGTAGGCATTTAACCTGGTAACATTGAGACTGCTTTACAAATTTTTAAGGGAAAAAATCAGTAAATATTTTCTGATTACATTCAGTAAGTTATTTTTCTTTAATATTTTTTTAATGTTTATTTATTTTTGAGAGGGAGAGAGAGACAGGGTGTGAGCAGGGGAGGAACAGAAAGAGAGGGAGACACAGAATCTGAAGAAGGCTCCAGGCCCTGAGCTGTCAGCACAGAGACCAACACGGGGCTCAAGCCCACGAACCGTGAGATTATGACCTGAGCTGAAGTTGGAGGCCTAACCTACTGAACCACCCAGGCGCCCCAGTAAGTTATTTTTTCTAGCTCAATTTTTACTTTGGAAATGACTGTCAACCACTATCAGAGGTACCTGTCATTTGCTACCATTTCCTTCTGTTTATTCTCTTCCTTTCATCTCATCCCCCTGCTTTCATCTTTCTCTTTTTCCTTTCCCTGTCTTCATTCAATACTATCTGGACTTTAGGTATATATTTGGTACTCAGCAACATGACATAGCTTGGTTAATGGGACCGAAGGTCAACTCATGCATTGCCATTTATTATTTATTTCAGAGCTGAAAATCAGTATCAAGTATTTCCCAGGCAATTTCCTCATGAAGATTTTTCTGATCTTTACAAATAAATGACGCTAAAAAGATAAACATTGAAACCAGTAGTAATTTCTCCTTCAGCTTAATTATTTAGCACTGTAAGTTGTTTTTCTATGATGGATTTGCTTATTAATAGGATCTTGTTACCTATTCCAGGGAGGGTAGTCAAGGCTAATAGATATAGGAGTCAAGTTAACTTTAATACCCATTTTGACTTTAACAACTGCTTTCCATGCAAAGAACTTAAAGATCACTGGAGATTCCCCATGAGATTAACAGAAATAGTTGTGGTGGTTGGTTTTTGGTATTAAGCATTTGGTTTAGGTATTAAGCATTACTTTTTTGACTCAGAGTTGGGTTACTGTTTTGTGGATAATTTTTTTCTAAGTAGAAAAGAGAGAGAAGAAAAGGAAGTATAAAAGAGATATTTGGGATAAATTTTTCTTCTTCTGTGTGAATCTCTTTTTAGTAATTTAGTTACTTACTGTACTGTGTCATTTTTCAGAGTGCTTTGAGCCAGAGAAGAGATGCCATCTTAGAATTAGAAATAAACTATATATCTTACATTCAGTTGTCATAGCAATCCTTAGTCTAGCAGATCTAAGATAGATTGCATACTTTCGTGTTCTCGACAGACCTAGGGTATGTGTGTATGTGTATGTGTGTGCATATGTGTGTGTGTATTTAACTTGAGCAATAGCTGGAATCTGAGCTGATATAACCAAATGAAATTACGTAATATTGTTTCTCAGATTTTCCATCCTTTTTCTTCTGGTGTATCATCAGAAGAGGGAGCTTTGTGAAGGATCTTCTATACCCCCCTTAAGACAGAACTTTTCTGATCATTCTTTAAATATTAAAATGAAAATCCTCTCAGGGGCGCCTGGGTGGCTTAGTCGGTTAAGCGTTCGGCTTTCGCTTAGGTCATGATCTCGCGGTTTGTGGGTTCGGGCCCCACGTTGGGCTCTGTGCTGACTGCCAGCTCAGAGCCTGGAGCCTGTTTCAGTCTGTGACTCCCTCTTTCTCTGACCCTCCCCTGCTCATGCTGTCTCTCTCTCTTTCTCCTAGAAATAAATAAAACATTTAAAAAAATAAAATGAAAATCCTCTCAAAAAGAGTATACTCCTGTCATACTGAGTACTCTCTGCCAATGTTCTCCATTTTTAGCTAGCTCAGGTCTTTCATATTGCAGTTCAAATATTGTTATTAATCCTTTGAGAAGGAGGGAAGGCAGTTTTTCATTATTATACTTTTCCTTCACTGGGTTTGAAATTTCTATTTCATTTTGTTTCTTTCTCAACAGATACTGCTTTTCAACAACTTGCTCATCCTCACTGATCTTTCTATACAGATCACTAAATTTTCCTTCTATTGATGTTTATAACTTGAGCTTATTTAGTCTCACTTTATATTCAAAATAGTTTAGATACCAAGTATCAACTACTTATTTCAAGTTACAAGTGGTTACAGATCTCTTTGGGCCTCTTGCTCTTTGTTACAGGGTTTATTTTATTAACACACTAACACAGTGAGAAATTTATGGCCACATTTTACATTCCACCATATTATATTTTACCGACTATGCTGGTGATCATGTTACTGAATATTTATGGACAAGGTTCAAACAGATTCAGGGTGATAGTGGGTAACAGCTGGTTATGAATGTCAAACAGTAAAGTTTACTCTTGAATCTCACCACATTATCTGAGAAAGGGACATTTTAAAATACACTGAACTAAAAATTCTGAGTTAGCCAATTTTGATTTGTATTTTTTTAGTTTGCCATGTATTTTTTAAAGTTTTCATTTAAATCCTGTTAGTTAACACACAGCGTAATATTAGTTCCAGGTGTACAGTGTAGTGATGCAATACGTCCATACATCACCCAGTGCTCGTCACAAGTGCACTCCTTAATTTCCATCACCTATTTAACCCACCCACCTCCCTTCTGGTAACCATCAGCTTGTCCTCTATGGTTAAGAGTCTGTTTCTTGGTTTGCCTCTCTCTCTTTCTCTGCCCCCCCCTTCCTTGTTTATTTTGTTTCTTAAATTCCACATACGAGTGAAATCATATGGTATTTGTCTTTCTCTGACTGACTTATTTTGCTTAGCGTAATCCTCTCTAGCTCCATCCATGTTGTTGCACGTTAGCTTGCCATATTCTAGAACTAACCATGTTATTTGGGCACTTGGGTGGCTCAGTCAGTTAAGCATCCAACTTTGGATCAGGTCATGATCTCACGGTTTGTGAGTTGGAGCCCGCGTTAGGATCTGTGCTGACAGCTCAGAGCCTGGAGCCTGCTTTGAATTCACTCTCTCTCTCTGCTGCTGCTGCTCCCCTGCTCATATTCTATCTCTCTTTAAAATAAATACTTAGAAAAAATTTTAAAAAGCAAATACCATGTAATTAATACAATATTTTTTCTCATTAAAAAACTCCAGCTAGATACAACATACATTATAAACACTGTATTTCATTTTTATGAAGTTGTGGCATAGGAAGAACCAATTCATGATGATAGAAATAAAAACAGAAATTGTCCGTGGGAGGGGTGCCTGGGTGGCTCATTTGGTTAAGTCTCTGGCTCTTGATTACTGCTAAGGTCATTATCTCACTGCTTGTGAGTTTGAGCCCATGTTGGGCTCTGTGCTGACAGTGCAGAGCCTGCTTGGGATTCTCTCTCCCTCTCTGATCCTCCACACTTGTGCACATGCACACACACATGCATGTGCTCTTTCTCAAAATAAATAAATAAAGATAAAAAATTGTCTGTGGGGGGAACTTGGAAAGGGGCATAAGGGGCTTTCTAGGATGATAGAAACATTTTCTTTATTTTAATTTTCTTTTTTAATTGGATGTTGGTTATCTAATATATATAAATTTATCAAAATTTTATCGAGAAATTATTTCCTGTATCTCTCTTTTTCTAAGTCCGTTAAGATGTGTGCTGGCTGGTTCCTTTTCTAAAATTTTTTTAAAAAGTTTATTTTATTTGAGAGAGAGACAGAGAGAGCAGGAACTGAGGAGGACAGAGAGAGAAGGAGAGAAAGAATCCCAAACAGGTTCCTTACTGTCAGCAGGAAGCCTGATGTGGGGCTCGAACTCATGAACTATGAGATCATGGCTTGAGGTGAAGCCAAGAGTTAGACTCTTAACAGACTGAGCCACCCAGCCACCCCTGGCTGATTCCTTCTTGCATTAGATATGCCTCTGATTTTGAAGAAGGAGAGCACTGCTAACCTTAATATGGCACTGAGTGGTAGAAAAGTTAATTTAGTTTTAACTTAATGATTTAATTCAGAGGTATTGAATGCCTACCTACTGTGGTCACCACAGTATAACAGTAATTATATATTCTTCACATTTTAAAATTAGTAATAAATCTACTTTCAAACTTAGGATATGTGAAAAATTTTTTTGTCATCTAGCATTACTCAACATAAGAAACTTTTAAAAAGTACTGACAGATTTCTGACACGTGAAAAAATTACTTAAGTTTAAAACCTATATATTCTAAGCATTAGTTTTTCTTTTTTCTTTCTTTTTTATTTTATTTGATATACAATGTTAACTTTAGTTTCAGGTGTACAACATAGTGATTAGACAAGTTTATACATTATGCTATGTTAACAATAAGTGTAGCTAACATCTGTCACCATACAATGCTATTATAATATCATTGACTATATTCCCTATGCTGTGCCTTTTATTTCTGTGATTTATTCATTCCATAACTGGAAGCCTCTATCTCCCAATCTCCTTCACCCATTTTACCCATCCCTCCATCCCCCAGGAAGATATTTATATTTTTAAGAAATGTTTATTTATTTATTTTGAGAGAGACAGACAGACAGAGAGGGAGCATGAGCGGGTGAGGAGCAGAAAGAGAGGGAGAGAATCCCAAGCAGGCTCCACACCATCAGCATAAAGCCCATTGCCAGCCTTAATCCCACAAACTGCAAAATCATGACCTGAGCCAAAATCAAGAGTCAGAGACTTAACCAAATGAGCCATCCAGGTGCCCCAAGGAGGAAGATCTTTTTAAACTAAAGATGAGGACACTGAATCCTGTTCAAAGATTTTTTTTAGTTTCAATAATGAAATGGTACTTACCTATGATAAAACATGCGAGCCATGCCCATTCTTTGCTTTTCCCCTCCTGACAGAACATCTTTCCAGTCCATAACAGCATCCCATCCTTAAAAATATATAAAAACATATATTTTTATAAGGCATTTGTTTGTTACTGTTTTTACCCTGGACAAGTGATCCCTGGCAAGTTTAAGTTATTAACACAAAAGTACCTGGTGTTAAGAAAAAAAACCCTCTTTTTAATGTTTATTTTTGAAAGAGAGAGAGCACAAGCAGAGTGGGAAGAGAAAGGGAGACACAGAATCCAAAGCAGGCTCCAGGCTCTGAGCTGTCATCACAGAGACGAATGAGGGTCTCAAACTCATGAACTATGAGATCATGACCTGAGCTGAAGTCAGACACTTAACCAATGGAGCCACCCGGGCATCTCAAAGTATCTGGCATTTTACAGAACATATGCTTGGATAAACTAGAGAGCCTCATGTATAAACATTTTGTTTTAGATTTCATGTTTTTTTAAATAGTACTAATTCCTTATGCTGACAAAACATCTTCTAAGGATTCTAAATACTGGAAGTTAAGAAATTTGTTTGTTTCTGAATATTTCCAAAAAGTTGGCACACTTATACTTATTGAGGAAGGTGGTAGGAGAAAAGACCAACAATTTGCATAGGCCTATTACACGGTCTACAAAGAGTAAAACAGAAACTAATTGAAATGACATCCATGTGCCTGCGTTTTCTCATTATATATCCCACAAGCTTATGAGCTAGATCGTACTGTTGCATTTTAAAGTAGGTGAACTGAAATCCATAGAGGAGTTGACATGTCTAAGTTTACACAGCTAGAGATCAGAGCCAGGATTTATATGTAAGTCTATATTCACACTACCTCTTAAAACATCTGGGTTTTTTTTTGAAAATTAGTTTTAAGTTCTTTTTTCTTCCTTTAAAAAAATTAATTTACTTATTTTGAGAAAGAGAGAAGGGGAGGGGCATAAAGACAGGGAGAGAGAGAGTCCCAAACAGGCTCTGTGCCGACAGCACAAAGCTGACATGGAACTGTATCCCATGAACCATGAGATCATGACCTGAGCTGAAGTAGAACGTTAAACCAGCTGAGCTGCCCAGGAGCCCCTGTCTTACAACATCTTAACTACTGATTTTCCAGTGGATATTTATACAAAAAGATATGCTTCTATTTTTAAAAAAAATCATTACATCTATATATACTGCTGTAGAAATGTACTTGGAATATTTTGATATGACAAATCAAGTTGCAGAATTGTGTGTATGTATAGAAACAGATACACACATACACATTTCTATAAATTATGACTGCATTTCTATAAATACACACACAGCATACACCCCTACAGGAATGGAATTATGAGATGTTTACTTTCTAAGTTACACATTTTTTGTAATACTGGAAAATGTAATGATTATTATTTTTATGGCTTATCTTTATTTTGTAACAAGAAAAATGTACTCCGAAATAAAACCAGGAGTGTCTGGATAGCTCAGTTGGTTTAGTGTTTGACTCCAGCTCAGGTCATGATCTCACAGTTTGTAGGTTCAAGCCCTGCATCAGGCTCTGTACTGACAGCTCAGAGACTGGATCTTGCTTCAGATACTATGTCTCCCTCTCCCTCTCTTTCTTTCTTTCTCCCTCTCTCTCTCCCCCCCACTTGCTCCCCTGCTTTCTCTCTCTCTCTCTCTCTCAAAATAAATAAGTGTTTTTAAAATAGAAAGAAAACAAAACCATGGGGCCTATGATAGAGATAGCCATATCAAATATTTATCCATGGGAATGTCAGAAAATAGCAGAGCAGAGTAGGCAAAGTCTGGTTTTCAAAGAGCAAAATTACTGCCAAAACTTGACACATACACTTAGGACAACAGTTGCAAATCCCAAGTGTTCAAGGCTTAATTTTCCCAGTTAGAAAAAATTCAGGCTCTTTGCCTTCTTCTTTCTGTCAGTTGAATTTTCACCTTTATTAAACTTTATAATAAGTAGAGTGTTGTTTTCTGTGCACTGGATTATTTTCCCTGTTTCCCAATGATACTCCCCAATTGGGACCATTGTTCATTTTCTTGGGTAAACTTCCAGGAATTTTCTGTTCACTTAAAAATATAGCCTTACAATTAATTTTATGTTAGGGGAAAAATCTCCAAATGCCATCTGATTTCAAGTTCTTGCTTCTAGTGAAAACTGTTGAAATATAAATTTTTCTCTATAACTGAATTTTCTAGCATTTATGAAACATAAGTAAGGATTTGACAAATAAGTTCAGATTGCTACACAGTGGAGAAATATTTGGGGCTTAAAAATTTTTTGCTCCTGCCAACTGAGAAGGCACAAGAGAAAAGTATTTGGGTCAAAGGAAACTTTAGCTTTTTACATATTTAAATAAATCATGTCTTCTGTTCCACTAAACCAAAAGTTTTCATAGGCAATATTGCTTGATCATAGAACATATAAATCAAACCTCTGAGTTATAGTATCACCTCTGATGTGGATTTAGTGAGACTAAGCCAGCTGAGAACAGTTTTCTTGTTTACTTGAGATGTACATTTTAATTTACTTCCTGTTAACATTTGGTAACACTTTTACACCTTTCTATTTTGTAATCTCTATTCATGGAATGAAACATAGGTTTTAATTCCATCTTTTATTAGAGCAAAGCATTTCTCTAAGCAAAGTATTAGCTAGTCTAAATAGAACTTCAGTACGCTTCTTTCAAAGTAAGTGATGTCCTTGCAAACTTAGATGCTTTTCAGCTTTGCTTAAAAATAGGCTTTGTGTTTTAAGCATTAAGCAAGTAGAGTAGGTTTCCTTGAAATTATTTTATGTGTAAGGATATAACAATTCTTATTAATATCTAAGAAGCTAGTAGAGAGCCTAGCCCAGTGGCAGAGCCTACTATAGAACATCGACTTCCAAGTGAGATCTTTATTTCAATCCCTGTTATAACACTTGCTGTGGGTCCCCTGAGGAAGTTACTAAAATTCTGGATTTTACCTGTAAAAGAGGGTTAGTAAAACCTCCATCATAAGACAGTTATAAATATTAAATAAGATGACAATGTGCATTGCTTAATATATTCTGCACAGTAGGTACTTAATAAACCATAACAATTACTGTTACATTATTAAGGTTGGAACATTCCTAAAAATGGTTCTTAAACTTCTCAATGACTTCTGAAAGAATAGAATAGCCTATGTTTATTATAAATGTCTATTTGGATTATTGGATTTCAAACTTACCCAGAATAACTTCCCCAAGATTAACACACAACATTTATTCTGCCCCGGTGTTTTAAAACTGGGAAGGAGCTGATCATATGAAACAAAAATATAATCTGCTTTCCATATTTTTAGCATTTATGAATTGTGATTAAAAACACCACAAAAAATAAATATAATAATACCTCTTCTGTCTGCTTCAATTGCTTATTATAAGGATCAAATGAAATAATATATATGAAATTTCCACATAAAATACCAAGAAGTGACACATAAAGACAAAATATCATAGTATAACTATTTCCTGTAGTAATATTACAATTAGTTACTAATTCTTGTGCATTTATTATGTGCCACTGTTATAAATGCTCTACAGAGAGTCTTTTTTAAGTTTTAATTTAATTCCAGTTAGTTAATACACAATTTTGTATTCGTTTCAGGAGTACAATATAGTTATTCCAAATTCCATGCATTACCCTGTGCTCATCACAGGAAGTGCACTTCTTAATCCCCAGCACCTGTTTCATCTATCCCCCAACTCACTCCTCTCTGGTAACCATCAGTTTTGTTCTCTATGGTTAAGAATCTGTTTCTTGATTTGTCTCTGTCTCTTTTTTCCTCCCTTCGCTCATTTGTTTTGTTTCTTAAATTCCACATGAGTGAAATCATGTGGTATTTGTCTTTCTCTGACTGACTTATTTAGCTGAGCATAGTATTCTCTAGCTCCATCCATGTCTTCACAAATGGCAAGACTTCATTCTTTTTTATGGCTGAGTAATATTCCATTGTGTGTGTGTGTGTGTGTGTGTGTGTGTGCGCGCGCGCGCGCGCGCGCACGCACGTGCGCGTTTATCATCTCTTCTTTATCCATTCCTCAATAAATGGACACTTTGGGCTGCTTCCATATCTTGGCTATTGTAAATAATGCTGGAATAAACATAGGGGTGCATCTATTCTTTCGAATTAGTGTTTTTGTATTCTTTGGGTAAATATTCAGTAGTTCCATTGCTGGATTACAGGGTAGTTCTATTTTTAAATTTTAAGGAACATCCATACTGTTTCCATAGTCACTGTACCAGTTTTCATTCCCAATAGCAGTGCCAGAGGTTTGGTGGCTTTTTCTCCACATCCTTGCCAACACTTGTTTTTTTTGTTTTTGACTTTAGCCATTCTGACACGTGTAAGGAGATATCTCACTGTAGTTTTGATTTGCATTTCCTGGTTGGTAAGTGATGATGAATACCTTTTCATGTGTCTGTTGGCCATCTGGATGCCTTCTTTGGAGAAATGTCTGTTCTTGTCTTCTGCCTGTTTTTATTTGGATTATTTGTTTTTTGGTATTTGTTTGTACCCCAAAACATCGTATTTTAGATACTACTCCTTCATCAGAAATGTCATTTGCAAATATCTTCTCCCATTTGGTAGGTCATCTTTGAGTTTTGTTGATTGTTTCCTTCACTGTGTAAAAGCTTTTTATTTTCTTATAGTCTTAACAGTTTATTTTTGCTTTGTTTCCCTTGCCTGAGGCAACATATCTAGACAAAAGTTGCTATGGCTGATGTCAGAGAGGTTACTGCCTGTGTTCTCTTCTAGGATTTTTATGGTTTCAGGTCTTACGTTTAGGTCTTTAAGCTACTATGAATTTATTTTTATGTATGGTGTAAGAAAGTGGTCCAGTTTTATTCTTTTTCGTGTTGCTGTCCAGTTTTCCCAACACCATATATTGAAGAGACTTTCCTTTTCCTCTCGAATATTTTTTCCTGCTTTGTTGAAGATTAATTGACCATATAGTTGTATGACTCTGCAGAGAGTCTTATTTGATATTCACAGAATCCTTATAGGCAGACATTTATCCCCATTTTGGGATTGAAGATACAGAAAAGTGGTAATTAAGATTTGATTCCAGAACTCTGACTTCAAAGCTCACATTCTTAATCACTCTACTTCTGATAGGTAAATGGGATAGGAAATAAAAGATTAAATCTATGCAAAATTAAACCTAAAATTCTAGTTTGCTATTTCAATACTTTTTCTAGGCTATCAAATTATGTTTTATCAACTTTTTGAAAGTATAACTATTAGTAATTCTTTTTTAAGCTCATATGTGTAAATGTTATTTCTACACTTCCAACAATGCCTTATGCATAAAACACACAGTACAGAAGGTTTCAGGGACACCTGGGGGGCTCAGTGGGATAAGTGTACGACTCCTGATTTTGGCTCAGGTCATGATCTCACAGTTCGTGAGTTTGAGCCGCACATTGGACTCTGCACTGACAGCGTGGAACCTGCTTGGGATTCTGTCTCCCTCTTTCCCCCACAGCCACCTTTCAAAAATAAATAAATAAACATTTAAAAATAACTTAAAAAAAAGAAGTTTCTATATTTTATCTAATTCTCTGTGTGCTGCTTGACGGAGGGGAAAAATGTATTGGTAAGACTAGGTCTGAAAACAAAAAAGAAGTTCTGTGATACCACTCTTCAAACTATTAAGTGTAATGGAAGCTGAGAACTTGACAGGAGAATATTTCTGCCATAGATTTTACATGCATCTGGATTGATAATGGTCTCAGAGACACTTGTATATTCAAATCTGAAGAAAACAAACTTTTAATTTTTAAAAGAAATGTGTTTTTAATATTTATTTTTGAGAGAGAGAGAGAGAAGACAGAGCACAAGTGGGGCAGGGGCAGAGAGAGAGTGAGACACAATCTGACAGAGCTCCAGGCTCTGGGCTGTCAGCACAGAACCAGACATAGGGCTCAAACTCACCAACCATGAAATCACAACCTGAGTCAAAGTCAGCACTTAACCGACTGAGTCACCCAGGCACCCCCAAAAGAACGGTTTTCAAATGCTAGCAGCAGACAATAAAAAACCTGTTGTGCTGTACCAAGCAGAAAAGAGGATGTCAATAATGGAAAATCAATAAATGCTATTAAGTCCATCTGTGTATTTATGTTCCAATAATAGCATATGTTCACATTAAAATATGCACTATTTACCTAAGTTTAGTTTTTGAAACAAAGTTAAATGAATTTTAAAAATGATAGACTTTACCTCCTTCTCTTTGAACTATGTGGTAGAGGTGGACATTGTGTAGAATACATTCCAGATCATGGTCTGTATAGCCTTTATCATGCATGTCATCCACAGAGTCAGGATAGATGACTTGATCACGAAGACTTCCAAGAGACATGTATGGCCTATAAAACACCAAGCACATAAGAATCCTAGTACAAAGTCAATTTAGTTTACTCAGTGTGACAATCTTGTGGTCTGAAAACTCAAGAGCACATTTTAAATACCATATTTCTAGAGTTATATTTATTACCTGGTGATGAGTATTTCTCTCTCAGGCATGACAGATAATACTCTGTTATGTTCATGTAAAAATCTATTGAGATATAGCCACAAGAAAAGTTTCCATAAGGAATATTTGGATATTTTCAGCACAGAAACACATATCTTGTTTCATTGTATTTTATAAATATTGCTTCTATAATTCATCTGAAATTATTTGAGTTAAATCTTATAAAATCTGAGGTTTTGACTCAGAAATGTGCACAAGCAAAGCTTTCAAAAATACCACTAATTAGCGGGGCACCTGGGTGGCTCAGTTGGTTAAGCGTCCAACTCTTGATTTGAGGCTGTGATCTCAGGATCATGAGATCGAACCCCCCGTCAGGCTTCATGCCCAGATTGAGATTCTCTCTCTCCCTCTTTCTTTGTTCTTCCCTTCTTACACTCTATCCCTCTCTCTGAGAAAGAGAAAGAGAGAGAGAGAGAGAAATGCCATTAGTAATAAAAGGAGTGCAAATTAAAACTACACTGAGTTTCTTACTTTTCAGATGGTAGAAGTTCAAAAACTTGACAACTCACTCCCCACTTCTGGCAATTTACCCTAAAGATATACTTCAAAAATTACAAAAATAAAAGTCTGTAAGGTTATCCATTACAGCATTATCCACAATTGCAAAATATTGAAAACAAACTAAAAGCCCATACAAAGGAGACTGAATAAACTATAGCACCTACACTATGGAGCTGTCAAACAGGATGTGGGCTGTCTCTATAGAGTGGCTTTCCAAAACAGAATTTTATGTGGAAAAGCAAAGTGCAGAAGTAGATGTACAGCAGGGTTTCTCAGCAGCAGCGTTATGAATATATGGAAACAGTAATTCTTTGTTGTTGAGGGCTCTCTCATGTATGTAGATGTTTAGCAGCCTACCTCATCTCAACCTATTAGATGTCCTTTCCCCCCAAAAAGTCTCCAGATATTGTCCCCTACAAGACAAAACCATCTCCATTTGTGAACCACTAATATACAATATTCTATCTATACAAAATGAAAGAAAAATGAGAAAGTATACATTTATCTGATTACATTCATAAAAAGGAAACACAGTAAATCAGAAACTAATAAAAGGAAACACAGTAAATCAGAAACTAATAAAATTGGCTACCTACTAGAGATTGGAGAAACAAGGCAGAATTAATAGGGGAGGGAGTGGCCTCTCTAAGTATCCTTTCTATAAATTTTACTTTTAGAATCATGTTAAAATGTCATTGTTCAAAAAAAGAAGCCAGTAAGGGTGAAGGAAGAAACCTTAAAATTAAGTACAAACAGAAACACATGAACTGAATGGTATATCAAATGAATAACAACTACAAGGAAGGGGGAGGAGGTAACTTGTGCTGGGCTTGTGCTTGGCTACACAATTTCAGTTGAAGACCAAAAGAACCACAAAGAAATCTTGAACCTTATTTGGCAAGTTTCTTGTTGGTAATAATGTAGGTGTAACAATTCTGAATTATTTTACCTATGTTGCAGGATTGACCAAAGAAGTAAACATTTTAATAATATTAGGAGCTAGGGTTCTCACTCTGGAACGAAGAAGATGCAAATATGGAAGGTGAGAAGGCAAGAAAAAACTGTAATATTTAATTTGAATTAGTGTCTGTATAAATTCATGCTTTAAACAAATCTTTTTCCTGTTCTGTCCATATTATGTCCTATAATACCAGGTATGTGTCCTGGTATTATCCTCTGAGGAGGAAACAACATCATTTACGTACTCTAGTGAGTTGAACTGTGGACCAAAGAAGATATGCCTGAAGACCTAAACCCCAAGTACTTGTGAATATGACCTTATTTGGAAAAAATGGGTCTTCACAGATGTAACTAGGCTAGGGATCTCCAGTTGAGATCATCCTGGATTAACCAGATGGGCCCTAAATCCAATAGTTGCCCTTACAAGCAGAGGAGAAACACAGGGAAGAAAGTTATGTGAAGACGGAGGCAGAGTTTGGGGTTGTGCTGTCACAGGCCAAGGAATGCCTGGCATGACCAGGAACTGGAAGAAGCAAGAAAATATTCTACCCTAGAGCTTCCTTAGGGATGGTAGGCCTGCCAACACCTTGATTTTGAACTCATGACCTCTAGAATTATGAAAAAATACATTTATATTGTTTTAAATACCAAGCTTTTGGTTACCCAGCAGAGCTTGGAAATAGGTAGTATTCTTGCCCCTCCCTCCCCACAAGGAAAACAATAACAACAAAAAGTGTAATCTGAATCATTGCATCAGGAAACTACCAGACAAACCTAATTTGAGGGACTTTCTTAAATTAACAAGAAAAGTTCCTTCACTCTATGTATATAACTGTCATAAGAAAAAAATAAAAACAGAGAAGCTGAGGAGGTGAGATTAAAAGAAACTAGAGCAACATGGCAACTAAAATGCAAATAAATTGTGAAAAAAGTTATTATAAAGGATAGTTTTATGATAACTGTAAATTTAAAAATTGAAAATTTAAATATGGGAAGTTGTTGGGGCTCCTTCAAAGGACATGACTGCTGGTTGACCATGAGCTAGAATGGGACAGTCGAAGGCTCCTCACCCCCTCGCATGTGCTTGGGATGTGTGCTCTGCCTATCATTCCCACAGCTGGAGCCGTTTCCAAGGAAACAGCATGAGAGGGTAAGGTGTTATTGGGACCATCTGGATGCTATATGTGATTAAATCCAGTTACGGCTTCTACATAATAAGCTTAAGATCCTGGTGGGTGAGTGCTGAGATCCACTCATCTTGTAGCTGCCCAGACAAGCCTCATGTGGTATGTTCCCTTGCTTATTAAACCTGCCACTTGCAAATTAGGAATGGTCTCTTCTGTCTCCTTTTGCCTCCAGGGACAGGGGCCAGTTTGTGAACCAACAAAAGTATAGATTGGTATAGATAATTATACCAATGTGGATTTTCATGGATTTGATCATTGTACTATGGTTATGCTAAAGAATATCTCTGCTCTTTGGAAATACACCCTGAAGTAGTTAGGAATGAGGATTTATGATTACTGCAACTTATTTTTTAAAGGGGAAGGGTGCAAGAGAAAGCGTTGAAGATTTTAAATGTAAATATATGTTTGTAGGTCACTCGTCTAACTATTTTCCCATAATATGCAAATGATTTAGTTGAAGGACAGATAACACAAGGTTATTTTACAAAAGGTTTAAATAATATTTGAAATAAAACTATTTATATTTTAATGATATGTTTATACATTCATGTAAATATTTTCAATGGGGTCTTTAAAATATAGGAATCGCTGGCTATATTTTAAAAATTGAGGGGCACCTGGGTGGCTCAGTCGGTTAAGCCTCCGACTTCGGCTCAGGTCATGATCTCGCGGTTCGTGGGTTCGAGCCCCGCGTCGGGCTCTCTGCTGACAGCTGGCTCAGAGCCTGGAGACTGTTTCAGATTGTGTCTCCCTCTCTCTCTGACCCTCCTCTGTTCACACTGTCTCTCTCTCAGAAATAAGTAAAAATATATATAAAAAATAAAAAATAAAAATTGAGATATAATTCACATATCATAAAATCCACCCTTGTAATGTACACAATTGAATGATTTTTTAATTCTATTCACAAGCTCATCTAACCATCATCACTAATTCCATAACATTTTCTTCACACCAAAAAGAAGCTTCATACCCAATAGCAGACACTCCCCATTCTTCCCTCCTCCCTGCCCCTGACAACCACTAATCTACGTTCCGTGCCCATGGATTTGCCTCTTCTGGACATTTCATATATATGAAATCACACAATATGTGGTCTTTTGTGATGGCCTTTCTGTTAGCATGTTTTCAGATTCATTCATGTTGTAGCAAATCATAGTATTTCATTCCTTTTATGGCTGAATAATATTCCACTGTATGAATATGTCACATTTTGTTAATCCATTAATAAGGTGATGGATATTCCAGTTGTTTTCACTATTTGGCTATTATAAACAGTGGCCATACACCTAGGAGTGGAATTGCTGGGGCATATGATAATTCTTTGTTTACTTTTTGGGGAACCACCCAACTGTTTCCTGAAGTGACTACACCATTTCTGGTCACATTTTTTTCTATCATGTCCCTATATCTTCCTCTCTTCTATATCTCTTCTATATCTTCTGCCTTCTTCTTTATCTTTCCCTCTCCAGTCTAACCATAATTTAAAAATAAAAAAAAACATAAATTAAAAATTTGTTTACATTATATTAAGCATTCATATAATGTGACAATATCTTAAGTTAATATCTGGTAATAATAATAGTAGCATAATATAGAAATTGACTATCAGAGTCAATGAGTAGTTTTTCAGCTGGTACTCAGACAAGTTAAGGAAGAAATCCATGGAAACCTTAGTAGGCAGTACTTTTGCTAATTCCCAAAGTAAATTAGAAGCACAGACATATTCTATATGATAGTATAAACCCCAGGCATAATTTGATCTGTAGAACAGCCATGACCCAATATGTAAGGGAGACTACAATGAATAAAATACATCTGAACATTCATTTCACAAGTGTTTCTACAGGATTCTACCATAAGACTTCATTAACTGGTAATATTGGATGAAATCATATTTTATGTCTACATTTCAGGGAAGACAGTATAGAGTCATAGTTGTGATAACTGGCTTTGGAGAGGTGGTTCTGGGCTGTAATTCCAATCTCACTATTTACTAGCAATGTGACCCAAATTCTGAACTAGAACTACCTCATTTGTAGAGTAACTTTATTCCATTTCTTATGAAAACTAAAAGAAGCAGTGGGTTTGTATAATGCTTAAATGAAGCAATGCAGTCAGAACACTTAGAACAGTGTAGGTACACAGTAGGCATTCAATAAACTGTTACAGAACAAAAATCATT